CAACGGTAGCGAGAAACAAAGTGAAACTTACGAGCTGATTCTGATAGGCGGTGACAGCGGTGAATATGGCCTCCGGGAATATGAAGGTCTTGTGCGGCTCCTTCTCGAGGTCCACGATCGGTTTCGTCGTGCCCGAGTCTGGTCGCTTCACCAGGTGGATCCTCGGTTGATACTTGTGCATGGAGTTCAGCACCAGCTGCAAATTAATCCAAACTGACTGTAGACTCGACGTACAATAAATAGTGTAAAGTCACTCAAGAAAATAAAATGTTGATGTATGAATGATTTTACAATGGAGATTACATTTGCATTTAAAAAGAATATCATTATGTCTAGAGAGAGATACACTGTTAAAGTCACATTGTCAAATTATATCCAATTTAAGTTATTTTTAATCATTTCTACACTGAAAAAAAAGATTGGTTGCTGCAACAATTTAGATAGTAAAATATAGCATAGCATTTTTATATGGCTGCAGCAATCAGATTTTGGTTGTAGCAAGAAATTTTTAGTTGTGTTAGCAATGTCAGTATATGATTTCGATAGGCTAAAAAAATGCTAACTAAAAATTTGTTGCTACAACCAAAATCTGGTTGCTGCAGCCATATAAAAATGCTATGTCATATTTTACTATCTAAATCATTACAGCAACCAATCTTTTCTTTCAGTTGCAACTGCTCAATATATTGTTAATTTAACTAAAACAAAGGAGTTAAATAATTTAACTTTAAAAGGTATTAAATTTATCTCAAATTTATTATATGCATACGTTAATATGATATTATTTACTTTGGAGCAATTTTACCACGGAAATGAATTGATTTACATTTTGACACATAACGGAAATTAAAAATAACAAAATATTATTTAAATAAAGTGATTGGATTACCATATTACTCTTTTGATATCTAACAATGCAGAAAGAATTAACTGAGTCAATTCCTTACATCACTTTAAAATCAACCAAACAAAATGTTTGTAAATAAATGCTTGATTTTCCAAATAAATATTTCCTTGGATAGAACTTTAATAATAGTTACTTGTATAATTTAAAACACTCTTGCATTGTTAAATATTAAAAAATCAAATTCTTTAAGTTAAATAATAAAATTTTGTTTAACTTTCAAGTACATCAAAGTGCATTATTTTAATACGAACGTGTAATTACAAAAACAACTATATCTAATCAACTCATTTCTGTGGTTGTTTAATTTATTTTAGTTGAACTACATATTTTAGTTAAATTAACAACATTCAATAGAAGTAGTGGCGCCTACAGAAATGATTAAAAATAATTCAAATTGGATATAAATTAACATTATAAATTTAACATTGTATATCTAATCTCGTATGTTAAATTCATAATGCCATAAATAAGTCAGCCATTTATGATGTTCTTCAATTTTTGACACGCTACATTTTTTACTATTACTTATAAATTATTGTTTTTGCAACGCAAAATTTAGACGACTATTCCTTCTCGGGTTATAATTCAAAGAGACGAATGAAAATAACATTGTGTAATCGGAAGATCTCTCGACACAAAAATCGCAGGTGTCCGATTTCGTCCAATTAAAGCCGTAACGAACTAACCGAACGATTCGACTCGGACGATGTGAATATCCTCGAACAGTTTCACGCGTTTCTTTATGCTTCGCATTTTCATCCAGCCCTTATTTCGAAGGGTACCATTAGATATTCTCAAATCGCTGACGGCTCATCTTTTCCCGATGACGAAGACGACGAGATTACATCGAGTTTCACGTTGCGTTGACTTTGGTCGTTCCGGGATTTGAATCAGCGACGAAGCCGAGGGTATGCGATAGCATTAACAACAACAGCGAGGATCGGCCGTGCGGGAAGAAAAAGCGTATGAATTAGGAGCATCTCGAGCCGGGCGCGCTCCCCGTTACCGTTCAAAAGAATCACTTTGCTCGCGTCTGGCAGCGTGTAATACTCTGAATACAAAATGAGTACCGTGAAGAAGCGCTGCCCCGATCGGAGTTCCTATTTACGTCAGTCATCCGATGAATTAAGGGCCCCGATGCGCCGGCGAGAAAGAGGAGCTCGGGCTGACAATGAAACGGAGGAAAAGAGTGGGGGTCGGGGGGAACTGAAAGAAGAGCGAGGTGGGCGAAGACGCGGCTGAGATTCTCCGTGTCTTATGACAAACGAGACAACGGACTGTCAAATTATCCCGTGGAGCGACTAAATCGCGCTATGATGAAATTCGTTTTATCAGCGTCATTTTTATTTTTTTTTGTAAACGAGACGTGCGGTGGGTCACGAGGTTGCTTGAATTTGCGGTGATGACATCCTTGATGACTTTTTGATTTTAAAGCAACGTGAGGAATTGACTCAATTAATTCTCTTCCACTCTCTCTTTCTCTCTTTATATAGACACAATAATATTCCTTCTAATTCCCTCTGCGAATGTAATCTTCATATATAACGTTGAAAAATCACCCGTATGTCATCACTTCATTTTCGTATAACTTCACGCCTTTCAAAATTCTCATAAACGCTTGGCAATGTCATCACTGTTGAACTTTACCAGTTGCAAACGCCTTTATGTAAAACCAGTCGTGTCACACTGTATGTAGTTATAGAAAAAGAAAATTATCCGGGGAGAAAAATGTATTTCGAAACGGTGTAAAACGTGAAAGGTAAGATAAACGTGGTGTAAAAGCTTTAAGCGACGAGGCGAAATGCCGCCGTGTTGCGTTCCACTTTGCTGAACTTTGTTGAACCTAACAATCGATGCCGGTCGACTTATTAATGCAACAACCGGAGGACGCGGTAGGCGTGCACTCGCTGTCTTCGACGCCGACAATGTCGTACTTTTAGCCACAGCTGCGCCGAGTAACGTGTAAAAGTTTAATGCGCGAGTTGTCTCGAGACAGCTACGTCTGCCCGTCCCCATCGCGAGAAAAAAATGTGGAAAATTTCTTGTCCGTCAGAAAACGTCGACAGTTCAATAGAGTTCTCACATTATACGACAATTAAAATTAGCTAAACGAGGCAAAAGGTACTATTTTTTAAAATTAAGTTCTTTTTTGTAGAATCTTGTTCCTTGAGCTACAGAGATTTAGAGAATTTTTTAATTACATAGAAGTTGAGCTTAAAAGAAAATTTTTTTTACAACAATTATAAGTTTTAATTATAATCATAATAATTTATCACAACACTTTCATAATTACAAATATTTATATATCAAATATCGTTTCTCACAAATTGAATATAGATAGATATTTACATCGACACTATTTTAAATTTAGAAAAAATATTATAGGAAGATTATAAAAATTATTAAATAAAATATTATAAAATAATTATAATCGCCTTTCTTTTTTCATATAAAAATATAATCAAACTGTTTCTGTCATTTCAATAATAAATTTAACTTTTTAACATTTAAACTTGGAAGTAAGAAAGGAACAAGGTTTTATTTCATTTTACTTGTCACCGGTTCGCAGATCATTCAGAACGGTAATACGGCACTTTACATTCGAGAGATCAATGCACGTTACTACGTAAACGCACAATCAAGTTATTCATCTTGCAGTTGTGAGAACTTAATAATAAAGGTCGATTTTCGCGGTGGTCTGACAAGTGTCACGAGGAATTAACCGGATGCCTCTGTGCGAGAAATAGACGGTTGAACAAGGCTTATTAATTAATTAATCCAATAAGAAACTTAACACATCCGTCGCAACGCGAATTGGAATCTGCACCTCATCTTGCTTTTTATAGCGAGCTGATATAGAAACGCCGGAAGTACAAAGATAATTCATACGAAATGATCAGCGCTGAACTGCTAAGTTTTTATTCACAGCTTCATTGAGTTTGAAAATCTAATTTAATTAGCGACACGAAACTAATACGTTTTCCGTCGTTCTTCCTCTGGTCTTTACTTATTCAACATCTTTCGAAAATTGACAGAAATTATCATAGCAATTCAATTATTGTGCCAATCTGCGCAAACTCGCAGTTCAGCGATTGAGCTTAATGAGACAGGACGGGGGATGGTAAAGTTTTTCTAAAGATACTCACGTGCCCATGCCTGTCCATGTCGTTGTTAGTGAGCTTGACTTTCTCGAAGGAGACGACCTGCTTTCGGAGCTGCTCGCCCGTGAAAGGTGAATCCGGATGGACGTAAAGTCGGGCTGGCGCCGGCGGATCCGCCTTTCCGGCCACCAACCAGCAGCTCCTGTGATATGCGTACCGATACCTTTTATTGTCGACCGGTACAATATCCATCAGGACCGCGTATCGACTGTCCGCCTTCAACCCGTTGAATGAGACACGACACGTCGGAAACATCCGCCTGCGCAAACACAAACGTATATCCTCGGTTAAAGAAGAGGTCTGTAGAATTCGAATTAAATTTAAAACATTCTATTTTTAAACAATTTCCAACTACTAGCGATTGTCATTTAAATTTGATTTCCGCAGTTATAGAAATCGAAGCGATACAGTAAAAAACACATTTTTTAATTGTGTTAAAATCAGTCCTTGTTTAAATTTTTATTTGGGTGTCAATTTAACATAATATGATGGTGTTTTTGAATATTTTGTGTTAAATTGATATTCAACTTTTTAGTGTTAAAATGGCACAATTTATAAATAATTAAACAAATAACATAAAAATAATGTATTTTCAAACATAATATAATTTAAGACATATGAATAAAATATGTTAATTTTTAACATATCATAAATGTTGTAACTTAAAAATATTACAAATATTTGATATATTATAAATGTTAATTTTACTGAAGAAATACACTTCTGCAATTTGCATAGAAATTGTCAACGTTATATCGTTTATATTTTTTACATAATATTGTATTACTTCCTAACATATTCATCTTGTTAAGTTAACATAAAAATTTAGATAGACTATGAAATGTATTAAACTTAACACAAATTTTCCAATTGTGCACAAATCTTTAAATTCTTAATAATTAATTCCTCGATACAGAATCTATAAATTGTTATCCATAACTCTTCTGACAATTCCGTTATAAAGCTGCAGTTCCTAGAATAACTTTTATGACTGTTAGGTAAAATTAACTGAGATTGATTAATTAATTCTTCGTCTTCTGCCAATGACGGAACTAGAAATCTCTTTAGATATTTTTGATAAAAGAGAAGTATCGCGTTTTATCAATCAATGATCCAGGATGATTCGTGATATAATTTTAGGGTTGACCCGTTCATGATCGTCGAAGGGGCAAGAAGAGAATAAGCGAAGAAAGAGGGCCGACAGGGGCGAGAGGGAGGGATGGGCCCGGACTGGGGATTAGTGGTAAGGGGATCGTGGGGGCAGGGAACCTGGCGTGAATGTTTTGCCTCGGAGGCCAAACATTAATACCGTGTCGGGCCCCCCGCTGCTCGACCACTAAAACGCGGGGACACCCGCCGATCTTATCTACGTCTTCTCCTCGGTCCTTGTCGACTCGGTATGCATTCATCCCGCCAGCGCCACGAGTGTGAGTAATGCTTTTATTTATCAAGCCGTCTTTTGTTAATGAATTGAACGAGGGAGAAGGTGGGTCCTTACCCTCGCGCCATATCACCCTCCTGCCCCTTCTTCCTCATTTGTACCTGATTTTCAATCCTCCCCTCTCCCCCTTTCGCGCGACCATTTTTCTGCGACCGCGTGCACTAACTCTGAGGATGCCTGCGACTTTTTTTCCGTCGGATTAGCCACCAAATTCCCGTCCCGCCGCGAAGATTATGGCTTTAAGGATGTGTCTGAAAACTCAGTCTGAATACCAGGTACGCAGAAATTAGTAAAAATAAGGGATACAGACAATCCTATTAATACAGATGTCCTATTAATACATCTACATTTTTTACATTTTCGATATTTTATAGTTTCGCATTTTTGCAACAGAAATTGCATAAAGTTGCCAAGTTAAAAAATTCATGCGTGGAGCGTAAGTAAGAAAATTGAACTCTGCCCTGAAAATCTCTAAAGACAGCGAGAAGCGTAATTTATGGAAGAAAGAGAAGAGATCGCCGGGGGTAGTTCCAGGACTGCCTAGCGGAAAGTCTAAGGGGCGATAAAGGGGCGGTAAGTTGACGGCTGAAGGGAGCGTCGACCAATGTCGCTAAGACGCAGATCTAATTACCGATGCACGAGTAGGCGCGCACCCGGCTGGAGGAACAAATCCCCCGCAGAAGGGAATCTACGACGAATAAAGAGGCAGGGATGTTGCCAGTCGTGGCGGGCAATTAGGCGCGCATCGGCCGCGTCGTCCCTCCCATCTTTTCCGCCTCCTTTCTCTTCCGGAAAGTTCCCCAGTTCCTTGAGAATCTCGTCAGTGTTTTTCTGTGCGACTATCCCTCGCACCCCATCTTGTTAGATCATAGTCCAGGGCTGGCGATCTTAACCCTACTTACGAAGACCCAACATTTTGTTCTATCCACAAAAAAAATATTTGACAAAGGCACAAAAAAGAATTTTGATGATAAACTACACAGTTGGAAAATTTGTATTAAATTTAACACATGTTACGTTTTCAAACTAAATCTAGTCCATTTAAATTTTTATGTTAATTTAACACAAAATGATATAGAAAGAATTATTTAACACATATAATATTTTGACACAATTTGGAAGCATATTTTCTTAATGGAAAATTAACATTCATAATATATTAAATTCTTTTATTAATTTATTTTAAAATTTACGTTTTAAAACTACATTACGTTATTTGTTTACACACTTATAAATTGTCATTGTGTCATTTAACACTAAGGAATGTTGTATCAAATTAACAACCATCAGAGATATGTTAAAAATTAAATACAAAAATTTTATCAAAAACTTTTAATAAGTTTATATTTGTAAAAAAAATATAAATTGTCTATGATGGCATAGAAATAGATTTTAACTTGTAACACAATTTAATAATCAATTAATAAACAGGATTTTAAGTCATAATTCGCTCTACGTTATTTTTACCTTTCTCCTTAAATAATGCCTATCGTAATTATGTCAAAAATTTTCTTCATTTCTTATTCTACGATCAATTCGCCCCGTAGGACGTCACATCAGTACAAAGGACTATTCTACGTCGATAGTTAACTTCGTGTCCAATGTTAGTATTTCCGTCGTTAAGTCGAAGATATATGTTTGAGAAGGTGGTATATCGCGAAGCCTCGAGACAAACCGCGAACATAAAACTTCTCGACTGCCTTCCGCGAATAGGCAGCCCCTGAGAGATCCCTCCCTGGACTTCTCCCCTCACAGTGTGATCCCACTCGAATCCTCACGCCTCTGGTCACCACCGTTCGTCCCAAGGACCCTTATAAACTGGCATAAGCTCGCCCGGTTTCTACACCGGCCCGACTAATTGACTGACGGTCAATATAGCAATTTAACCGGCCAGCTTGCCACCAGCTCGTTCTCCGTTTTTTATTCTTCTACCTCCCCTCCTCTCGATCCCTTCCCCTTCCCGTCTATGGCCCCCTGCGTTCAGGTAGTCTTAACTCTTTCACAGTTTTATATTGCTAGAGTATATTTGTGTGCGACGTTCTTATCCTTTTATTTGTACGATGTGTTGCATTATGTTACTTTCTTGTTATTCGCAATTGAATTTGTTTACTCATAAAGAGGCGAGCAAGCGGAAATATTGCACGTGTACACGTATGTTAAGCTTACATTTCATCTAGCCGATCACTTGCTGCGTTTTTATATGACCGAACCAATTGAGAGTTTCATGTTTAAATTTTTATTATTTTCTTTCCTGCCGTTTCCGAGTTCGTGATCCATACCAGTCTATAGCTTTTTTTATATTCACGATCTCCAGCCACTTGTTAAATAACGTCGGCTTACCGCAAGATAGATAGTTGCATCGATCTCACTAATATTCTCACCAATTTTCTCTTTCTCTTACCTCTCTCTCTCAAACTAATTTTTTTTATAAATAAGAATCGATAAGATAATAGACTGCCGTGTGATAAAAAAAATTTACAATTTTAAAAATTTTATCTTTCGTAAAACAGCGATAAAATCTGTGAATTCTTCACGTATTATTTATTTCATTTTTATTATTATACAGCAACATATTTTATATTTGTGGTAAAATAGAGATCCCTGTTAAATTTTTATGTTAAATTTTTAACATTTCTGAGTGTTAAGATAAAATAATTTACACAAATGAACAAATAAAAATAATGCATTTTAAAACGCAAATTCTATAATAAATGAATAAAATGTATATTAATTTAATATAAATTAATTTTACTGAAACTGTTAAGGTAATATATAAATTAATTGTGTGATTTATAATATCTATGTAAATTGTACTGAAAAAATATGTTTCCATAATTTGTTTACAAATTGTGTCAGCATTATATTCCTCGTGTTAACCTCGTGTTAATTTTTTACATAATGTTTGTTAATTAATTTCTAACATATTCATATTATGTTAAATTAAAATAAAAATTTAGGTAAATCATTTGGAACATGCAATATGTATTAGTACAAATTTTCCAACTCTGTACTCTTTACTCAGATTTGGGTTTCAAGACAGCATTTATTGCTGATTCGCCTATTATTAATTAATTTCTAATTTTTTTATATTTTTTGCGTCATTCTATAATTTAGAAATGCACATCAATAAAGTTGTTATTATTATTATTATTTACATTTCATTAAAAGTTATAAGTTATAATTTCTATATCACGCGTATTATTATATAAAGGATTAACAAATTTCTCAACAAATTTTTAGATTGCTGATTGTTCCAAGAATAATATCGTTCTTTTCTCCGTTTCTCCCACCTAATTTCCGTAATTAAAGGATCGCAATTTCAATGCGATTAGGACGTTTGCTTATGTTTCGATGTAACGTGTCAGGCGAGTGACAGCTTGCTCAGGGTAACGACACCTCTCGCCCTAACCCTAGTCTGTTTCTATCGCCGGGTTTCCCCTCGGGAATTTTCGTGGGTGTCGCGACGTGACCCGTAGCAGGACGTGATTGAGTTTGCAGCGACATCGCCCCGAGGGCAACGGCGGTTTCGGGACGAGGGCTGAAGGGGTGATCGGCCGCGAGTAATGAGAAAGAGTCAATCGCCTCGACGTTGTCCAGGAGAGAAATTCAGCCTGCGATGCATTAGCGGTACATCGTCCCGAGGGAATTCTTCCCTGGAGCATCTGGTTACCTCGGGAATCGCGTTTATCCCCTCTTCCTCTTGTTCCCCTCGAGAAACGAATCTAGAATTGTTTCTGACTGCGATCCATCGATTAATCGTTGCGAAATACGCACGATACTGGTCTTTTTATCTCAACATCAATGCAAGTATTGTTATGCGCAATTTTAAATTTATCGTTTGTTATATCAATATGTTGACGCTGGCGAAGATAACTGCAGATTGCGATTTGTACGTATTACGGAATCATGTTACACAATAAAGAATTATGTAATACATACGAATGTTTATCAAACATTAAAAATGAAACAGACTTCAAAATTAAAATCACGATATAATAAAAAAAAATAAACGATTTAGTTATAACAGTTAATAATTGCGCGATGTCGTTGAACTTGATTATATCCGACACCCAGAGAAAAGGTTGCTTCGATTTAAAGAAATTTTTTTTGCTATACGGTTAAAGAAAAAATTTCATTGATTTAAATTATTTTTTAAAATCACATAAAATTTATTTGATTTAAAGAAATTACGTTTAAATCCAAGAAATGAGGTTCAAATAATGATTTCTTGAATTTAAACATAATTTTAAATCGAAGCAATCTTTTCTCTGGATGTGATAATCATCGATCGCGTGATTAAAACTTATCGATGTCCATCTGGAATGCCTGCGGCAGTTATCTTCGATACCGACAAATAAATCAGCGTTATAATCTAGATAGCGATCATCCTTTCAGGCAACGGAAATCGGACATCAATAATTTGAAGTACTTTGACCTTACCTGCCAGTCTTTGTGATGATCATCTCCGTGCCGAGCTCATTGAATTTATCCCAGAGATCCTTGGTTTCGAGGTGACACACCACGTGCCTGAGTTCCTCGCAATTCGAGCGTTCTTGAAGCAGAGGATTCGTCACCGGCGAAACGCCGTTTCCACTTGTGCTTCCGGTATCGTCCGTTTCCGGCTCGTCCTCCGGATTGATCGTCTCCAAGACTGGCGGGGCACCTCGAGCGACCCCAGAACCGCTGGCTTCTCTTTCTGTAAATCATGTTTTCACAATGTTCAGTATAAGTATTAATATCGTGCGCGACATAAAAAAAATTTAATGTATATCTATAAGCTCTGTAATGCTATATAATACCGAATTATCCTCTATAGAACATACTCGTCGCCGCGTCATTACTATGAATTATTATCCACCTCGTGCAGGTTTTTATTCGCCATCAGCACGCCGCTGTACACGGGTACACAACCGGAAACGACCGCGAGAGGGAAACCGCTTCCGGCACGATCCGATATAAAAATCGAGGATCGCTGAAGCGTAGTAAAACCTCATTGCAAGCGAAGGCAGTCGAGCTTAAGGACCGGCATTTATCACTGCCGTATCATTGACGCTCGTTTTTACCCGTTCAGAATTCACTAAAATAGCAAACGGCGAACGGGAGTTACCGTGAATGAACCGCGCTCGATGAATATTTTAAGAGCCGTTCAATTACAGTTATATTTCGCCGTTCATTCCCCGTTTCGCGACGATGTTTTTCTTGCGTACCGGCGATACTTTCGCCGCTTCGCGCGGCGAGCGAAATTAAAAACGAGACTCCATCGATTCGTAATTTACGAGAGGGCCGCCCATTACCGCAAATCGTTATTAATTTTGTCCGAAGGAGCCGACATATTGCGATAACTCGATTCTAAATTACGCATATACAAGCCTCGACACCGATTAATACCTATCTCTGTACGACGCTTTTATGCGGCTGCGCCGCATCCTACTTGCTACTCCGAACCTGCGAAGTTTTTTCGACCCTTCTCGCAAGAAAATTTCCGCATTTACATATATGTGTGGACGTTAATGAAAAATCGCTTTCGTGACACGCAATTATTTATCGTTTATTCGACAACTTTATTAACGGAATAATAAAGAAAGGGAGTGTCTTTGATTAAGATTTTAATCGAAAATTGAAGCTGAAAATGGTAAATCGAAACGAATTGAAACGATGTCCGTCCTGTTTGGATTTCATATCGCAAGAATTGAATACATAATAACGTGAAGTTATAATATTAAAGAGTTTAAACAAAAACTGCAATAATGATGTGGTATACATAAACGTTTTATCTACTTTAATTAATCCAGTTTAAATTCTTGTTTTCACTATTAAATAAATCTCAAGATATCATCGGACAATTTTTATTGTGCAGCGCGGAAATAAGATCGTATCGCAGTTGTGTCAAAGCACTTGGAAGTATATGGCACGAGAGGCATAAAGTTCTGAGAAAATCACGTTGATTAAAACAGCTCACTTGATTAATACCGCAAATTAACTCGGAAACGCCGCGTCTCATTGAGGCGTTTTATTTCGCGTAGATCGTGCTAATCTCTCGCATTTATACGCATAAATGTTTACGTACACGCCGATTCAACGTAGCGTTGGGCACATATTATGGTTCCACGCCATTTAATCATATCGACGTAAATCTAAGCGTAATCCATTTGGCGGTGGTTATAGGTATCCAGCTATTGATGATAATATATCGTCGGTCTGGCGATAAGCAGATTCCTTCGACGGTTCGGCATCGCGATCGATTATAAATAACGCTGCGAACGTTCCGCGCGAGAAAAGCCAGCTTTACAATTATATTACGCAGATTGTTTCCAGATTTTAATGACGCAAGGAAAAAGTAATCGGCTGATAAAGCGACGTATTGCCGTCGACGGTGATTAATCGTTGCGCCACGACGCACGAGCGACAGGAAGTCAAGCTCTCTTTTTCAAGATACTTACACGCGAATTTCTACAGGATGTGATTGTACGACGCGAAGATTGAATGCTCGACGCATGTGACTTGCCGACGCAAAGGGTTAATTTTGTTTTAACGATCTTCAACCATTGTTAAGATAAACATAATCGTTAAGGGATAAAACTTGAATTTTTTAAATTAAAATTATAATTGGCAAAATTAATTTCATTCGCACGACGAAACAGAATATAAATTTTCAACATCGTGATTCGTAGTTTACGCAACATAAATCACATCTATGCAAAAGTATGCTGAGACGATTCTTTAATAAATTCACTGGCAATTTTTTTTTTTTTTTCATAGCTTTCCGATAAGGGCCTTCTCTGCGCAAGCAGTTGAGATCAGAGTTATTTATATCTAACGGGAATGCGAGACCAGCATCTGCCATTTTAACAGGTCCCTTCTCCGCGTAATTCGCGGACACGTATTTACCACGTGCGCCTTCGCGTTTCCATGGTAAGAGCAGTCGTTGTACTCGGGGAAACTGTAATAAACTTCGTAATGGGCAGTTACGAAGTACCGACCTGGTTGGTATGTCAGGTGCCGGCTATCAATTTTGCACATTGATGCCGCGCGCGCGAGGAATTAATTGTCCATTCGGCATAAGGCGAAATCCGTCATCGGTATTATAGCCTCGCTTTTCCGGTTTTCTCTCTGCGAAAATCCGTAATTGATCGCCGTGTATAAGCCCGCAGTATATACACTGTGCACGTTTCTCTTTCTTTATCGGAAAATAAGCACGTAAAGAAAGAAGAAAATTTTAACGTCACTAAGATAATACGAATCGATTACAAGTCAAAAGCAGGATGGAGGCACCGCACGAAATAAAGATGTAAATTATTTTATTGGCTGCCAAATACAATTTTGTATTTTTTAAATATAGAAAGAACCGATTTTGCTTTGATCTGAAAGATTTAAATTTCGCAGATCTGAAAATAATTTTATTAAACTAAAATAATTATGTTAGAAACTGAAAAGTGACGAGCATGTTGCAAAAAATTTTGACATTCTAAACTTTAAACCTACAACAAAATTATTTTGATCGTCTAAATAAAATTAATTTCTAATCTATATCTAGCAAAATTTTAGATCTTTCAGTAAAATCATTTTTTCGATCATATATGATAAAAATACACGGAAAGGATGGTCTTATTAAAATATCTAAAAATTTAGCTAGATACAGATCTGAAAATAGTTTTGTTAGATCATCAAAATAATTATGTAGGATACTTATAATAATTATGTAGGACACTTAAATTTTTTTGTTACTAAAATGTCAAAACTTTTTACAGCATTGCTCATCATGTCTGAGATTCCCACATAATTATTTTGACAGTCTAATAAAGTTATTTTGAAATTCTGTATCTGGCTAAATTTTTAAATACTTCAGCAAAATCATTCTTTCGGTATATAATATAAAATATTATAGATATAAATATAATTAAATATAATATATAATAAATATATGACTGAACAAACATCTCAATATATATATATATCACAATTAATAATTAATAATTAATGTCACAACAAGTGTTCAATATTATTTCGATTTTATCAATGTGTATTATGCATGCGGTGAAGCTAAATGTAATCGAAATATTCACGTCACGACTTTTTTCACTTCAAGATAAAAGCTCATATAGAACAAAAACCACACAAATAAGGAAATAACGCGATGGCTAAATAAAATCTCTTGGTTTACCTTAAGTTACTACAGGTTATAATTTCACATACCGCCGCTCTTAGGCGGCATCACGCTAATAACGCTAAACTAAAGCAAGCTTCGTTGTAAGTGGATAATTATCCTTTTTCCAGGCGCTACCGCGCGCTCATTATATTGCTTACCTGCCGTGTATGACCGTCATGCCGTAATCGAGGACATTAGTCATATTACATTTAATAACGCCTAAACCGCGGCGAGACCAGAGGAATGATTCTCGAAAGTTCGGCGATATAATATTGATCGGCCGCAAAATTGATTGACGGTAATACGTGCCATGAATTATCCAGTTCGATATGTAAATTATCGTCACGTTCTCCGTTATTTCGTTCCGTATTTACATCACATGCATTTTGCGGTAAACGCCTTTCGATTTCTGGTTTATAATCACTTTATACATACAAGAGAGACAAAGAAACAAAATTTCGCTTCATAAAGATATAAACTCTGAAGTACTTGAATTAGTACATTTTACACTCTTGCATGCATGAAATATTCTTCTTAGTACAAATTAATATTATATAAATTACCATAGTACTTCTTGTATAAATTATAATGCATAATGATTGTAATCTCTCTATTTTATTTTACGTATTTCGATTCGCGTCGATCAACCTCCTTCTAAAATTTATTTTATATATTTTACATTTTATCAAAAGTTCGTAATTACATCAAATATCGCACACGATGCATAAATTATGTAAATTATCTTTCGATTACAACATCGCCAATTCGCTTCACGAGTGGTATCGTGCATTTATATTTCTTGCCTCTCTATGCGCATCTTTATAACACGTATGATAAATTATATAAAATACGTATACTGAACTTATATCTTCCCCAGCGTAGACATATTTACTAAACCATGCAATATGAAAAGTGTTTAGTATCCGATCCTTGGTTGTTAACCTGCTGATACGGGCATTAATTTGTAGATGTATAATTCCAAATTTTTAAGCACTATTCGCAAAAATCATTCGCGAACGGTGAACTTTAATTCTTTTTAATGCATATACAGCGTATTTCAAAATATTTAATTTTTATATGTAGGTTTAGTAATCTTTAGTTTCTTTAAAAAAATTTGGAAAATTTTCAAAAAAATTATTTAGTTTATTAAGCAGTTCCGGAGTTTAATGTGCTTAAAATAATTCTATAAATAAATATTTCATTAACGAAAATAAAATTCCAAGAGCCAATAAAATCTTCTGTCATACATTAAAGGAAAAAATGATGTATTAACAGCATTATTTTAATTCAAAATCATTTTGTCAATTCCACACACTTTTTCTCTCTCTCTCTCCAATACACACAATATACACACACAATAACTCTATTAATGAAATACGTCAAACTCTTGTTTTAATAAAATTTTATTGCTTTCATTAATACTGTTATTGAATCAACAACATTATTTTTAATTAAGATAGTGCTGTTGATATATCATTTTTTTCAGTAGAAATTACTTGCATTTTTATTATAATTATGTATAATAAGTTATGATAAGTAACGTATGATAA